GCGAAGTTGATGTAAATAGTAAAATGCAGGAGATTTTTGAAGCATGTGACTCTCCACACTATCCCAATGGCAGTGGTTGTGTGCAGTAGATATAAAAGACGCCTTCCATGTTGGTGACGTGAATGGCGCCTACATCTTCTCACCTATTTGAAGGCGCTGAAGAGTGACTCAGTGAATCATGATTTTGCTGCTTGTCTCAGAGTTTGGAAACTCGTGTTCAGGTATATGCAGGCTATTTAACTCAAGCGACTGATGTGGCAGTATGTAACAAAATGAGTAAGCGGTGGAGTTGAAAATAAAGAGCATAATGTGGAAGACGCAAACTGCAGATCTGAGGATAATACAGTGTGCGGATGCTATCACTTGACTCAAGAGAATATTCGCACTGCATACGTGACACCGGCTGTACACTGAATTGTCAAGCAAACACCATGGATTGGTGTAAGAGCGTGCTGGCGAAAAGAGGTTGGTCCAGCACCTATTGATAAGATGTTGAATTTGAAAGTGTGGGAGAAAAGTTAGTGTAAGGGTGCAAAGTGGTCGACCAAGTTGACGTGAGACATGCCGGACATGAACGATGCGAAGTAGACCAACTTCTGGGCATTATTACGCGCGTGGTTGTACAAGCACACTTTTATTTTGACGCCAATCACTCTACACACACACGAACAATCACCCGCTGCAAGCACAGAGTAACACGTGACAATGCCACTGACTCCCACGCCATTAGATTGCTGAGAGTAGTAGAAGTAGAAGTGAGCCTGTAAAAGCGCGTGCAGGCGTCGGCCTAGGAGTTGGGCTACTTCGCCATGTCGATATCGTGGTTCACGTCCTCGTGAACATGGCCCACTCCGCGATCCGACACTTTTGTCTCCTCAGACTAACTTCCATCTTTCCACCATCTACCCTTCGACACTTCACCGCAACAACTTCTCGTCGCATACTCATGGATGCGACTCAACCAGTTGGTTGTTGTCATCGCCGTCGTCGATCCAAGACCAGTACATGTTGTCCTCAAGTATATCAACTTTTCCAATGGTTAAAGCTTCAAACTGGTGCAACTTCAAGCAGAAATCACAGCATTTGTTAAACTAGCGTGATGGTGATGGACTGGCTATATTTTACTCTACGTGGTGGTGATTGATGCTGCTTCCTGTTTCTCTGGAGGCTAGATCAAGTGCAGCCGATTTTCATCGACTCTCGGCAGTGTCATACCTATATGTAAGTCAAAAGGGATCTGCAATCGCAGTTGCATTGAATTCGTTACTCAATCACACACCGCAGCTCCTGCCTCATCACTTCGTTTTTCAGTTACTTGCTGCTGACACGGAATGAGTAGCATCAGCGAATGACTTGAAATAATCAGAGCAGTAGGGAATGTCATTATAAGGTGTGTTGATGCAAAGGTCAAATATGCAAGGGAATGTGATACTTGTTGTAAGCAAAGTCATAAATTTTCAAAGCAAATCAAGCTTTTCCTTAAATCAGTTCGCCTAAACTGGTCATGGTTTCAATAATTTTTTACAGTGACTTCATGTAATACAGCATTCGTTTCTAATTCATGTAACGTACAGCTGTGAAGTGACGATGAGACTGAATGCGTTGCTGCCTCGTGGCTATTGTAACTCCTGGGTGATAACCATTCAGTAGAGACTATTCACATTGCTGTTTCACGTTGATCAAGCCAAAGAAAGGGAGTGAGCCACCAAAGTAGGATTAAACCGGATATGCATTTTTCGTAATTGTGTTTGTGCAAAAGGAGCTGCTTGTACCTGTATCCAACAAATTTAGTGTTTTGAGCTGCGGGGAGCTTGCTAACACTGTTATTCTTCCTCATCGACGTTGATTTAGCCACTCTAACGAATTGCTAATGGGCGGCGAACTTGTGATTGCAATGTGAGTCAGTTAGTTGGAGGCTAAATTCAAGTGCTGCGACACCAGCTGTTTCCACCTCACCAGGATCATGGCTTGCAAATCCCAATTGTGTTATCCCATGTAGCCGAAACAATTGATAATCATGTTCCAGGCAAGTTAATTCCATTTAGAGATAGCAAGATATCAGAGAACCCTATCTGATTACTCTTGTCCGAATTGTCACAATCGCAGTACTCCAGGAATCACAATTGTATAAAACGCTGCAGTAGTCAGACTTGCCAAA